GAGGTTTGCCCTATTCTGTAAAGATACTTAAGGAACAGAGTCTTTGCTTTTGTAAATAGATGTTAAAAAGTCCACATGCATATGTAAGAGTCATGAAAAAGGCGCGCTCTGCATGCCCATGACACGTGTGCAACCCAGAGAGAAAATAGAGAGGTTTGCCTTTCTGCACAGGAAAGAAAGGGCAACTTCCCAAAACAGAGAACTCCTCCCACAGCCTTCAGGCAAACACCTGTGGAGAGAGGTCTTTCACAGTACCCAGGTGCCAATGGTTTTATCTGCTTTCAGGTCAGCTAAGAAAATCAAATCCAGAGGTGAGAGCTCTGCATTGTAAATGTCCGGAATCCTGGCTTTTATGAGGAAACACTGGTAGCTCTACTGAAAGGTTTGGTCTCTGCTTCTCTGCTCACATATTGAATTGCAAAGAGACTCATTACCAAATGGGTCTCTGCTCTTAAGTTGATGACTCCAGTCCTAGTCCCAAACCCCTAGATAGATAAGAAAATACACGTTTGGGGTTTTTTTTTTATGTGTACAAGTTTATAACCTTATTGCCTTTCTGTTGGCATGGGATATGGGTCATTTGCTTACAATGAGTGGTTGTGCTATTGAGACGTGGTGTATTTTCCGCAGGAACTGGAAGTTTTGCGTATTTAAGTGCAACTCTGTGACCTCGTGCTTTCCACAGTGGAGTCGAACTCTTGCTTTGATAATACCCCATGATTACTGAAGTTTAAACAGGAGAGTTTGGGGCTATCACTTCTATTTGACTGTGAAATCGGCTTCCATGGTGAGTGAAAGATTGGCAGAAGGATATTTAATAGTCCCATGCAATTCACTGGAAGTTAATTTGCACAGATATCAGAACAGAAATCTTTATTCCCTTTGACTCAAATCTCCAGATGTTTTGGTGCTGCCTTTTTCATGCTTCTCACGTGCAGATAAACTATTATTTTTAGATCAACGTTTTCTAACAAGAATGAATGTTGGTTTATCTGACTACTTAGCTTTGCTAGTTACTGCTGTGCACAACAGTGAATTAAGAAACAAGAAAGCTACAAAGGTAGTTACACCTTAAAAAAAACAAACAAACAACACAACACATTCTATTTTTTCTTCCCGCATTAATGCTTATTTGCGCTTTTCATCTAAGTCAGTACTACACATGTAGAACTTGAGAACATCTTAAGACCTTCCGTGCATATCCCTCTTCGTGATTCCTTCCCCTTGGATGCCATTTCAGAAGGCGTGTATTGCATGTCTGAAGCTTTCAAAGCACTTTGCAGACATTCAGTCCTTTCTGCCCCTGTGACATAAGGAGTATTAACATGGGAAACTGAGGCAGAAGCTTGCCTAAGATCAAACAACAAATCGGTAAAAGAATTTAGAGTAAGGCCCCCGTTCTTGACTCAAAGACTTATGTGCTCTCCGAGTAGATCACAGTGTCCTTCAGAATAACTTCCCTTCCTCCACCCTTAAAAATGCATGCTCTGGGTTTTGTCAATAGCAGCCTGTGTCCATAGGAAGAAAAAAAAAACAACCAACAGTGCAAGGGGGGGCTGAAACCTCTTCAGACAGCTGTACCTTACTCCTAACAATACTGCCACAGTTGTATGGTATCTTGCTAGGAGACATGCCCAGTGGACAGCAGGTAAAAGCAGCGTCTGTGATCCAGATCCTGATTCCAGAATGCTCCAGCAGGCAAAGAGCTAAGGGCCAGGATCCAAGCGAGTCCTTTCAGCAGCCACAACTGACCAGTGTGAACACAAATGTCTATGGGCGGTTGGGCCCGTCAAATCCGCTGAGGGAACTGTGGAAAGGCGCTGGGCAGCTTGTGACGAAAAGGATAGAGAAGTGTTGCTGCTAGAGAGGACTCGGTGTGTGAAATTTCTTAAGTCAGTGATTGCTGAGAGTATTTAGTGCTAATCTCTTAACGCTAGAAAAGCCTAGCTGCAGTGCTTCTCCCCCAGGAAACAATAGGACCCAGATTGCCCTCCTGAGGCCTCTGCCCCTTTATTGCAGCCCACACAGAAAGCTCATCTGAGAAGGCACGTTGGGTTAGTAGAGCAAACTCTCTGAACCAGTCTGAACCAGTTCAAATATCACATATGGTTGTTTTGCTTCTGCAGACTTCCTTGTTAGTCCTTGGAGGCTGTGGCTGGCATTTACTTAGCCATAGCTCATGCTGTCAGAGGGAAGGGGGAGGGGAAGCCTCTCCTTGAACATGTCAGCAGGGGCATGCAACAGTGCAATCAGATAGTTCTCCCTGTCGCTCCACGCTGACTCCTTTGTAGTGACTGTCCCTGCCTTCATTTTTGGTTATACTCGGCTCACTTTTGTAAACTCAACATCTGACCCTTTTGTTGCAGCCCTGATGCTTTTTTCTTCTGTTCAGATTGTTTCTAGGTGAGGAATAAAAGGTATTTGTTTCTGACTCCTGTATCCTTGCTTACAGAAGGCTTTTTACAGGTGAGACCCACGGTTATTTTCATAATCCAGACAGAGGCAACAAAGGAGTAAAAAAACCTGCTTTTGTTGGAGTTGCAAGTACTTAATAGTGTTTAGCAGCATTTGATGCTTACAGTTTTTTAAGCTTTAAGCACAGATTGCTCTAATAGCCTGTTCATGGTGACTGAGGCCTCAGAGTGTACTATCTTCATTCTCGGGCATTGCAGTTTATGAAGGAAGCAGAAAAATGGGAGAAGTGGTGACCTGGAATGAAAAAAGGTTTAGAAAAACTAGTTTTGAGGAACAATCAGAAGAATTATTTTGTTTGCCAAGAAAGGGGAAGTTATGGGAACATGACATATGCTCTGTTACAAGGAGGGCAATGGTCAGCTTTTTCCATTTTAAGCAATCCATGTTAATTTGGCTAGGAAAGAATACTTAGATTAGAAAATTGATTTTGCTTACTCACCCTGGTATCTTATTTAATAAGATTAAGTCATAAAGCGTGTTAGTTCTTTCGTAGGAGGTTAAATGAACTTTTGCCCGGGAAGATCTGAAGGTACTTGGCTGTGGCCAGAGAAGGAGGGTGGGTTTGATGACTTCTTGCGGAGCCCTTCCAGAGCGATCCATCTGTGGTTGCCTCCCTTTGCACAGCATGCTCTGCTATATGTTAGCTTCCTTGTATTTTTCTTCTTTAAGAAAACTCTCCATACACTTTGAATTTTTCCACAGGCGAAAAAAAGTAGAACAAACAAACAAGAAAGAGCAGTTGACGGACAGGAGAGAGAAAAAGCAGACATTGTTCATTCTGGAACCTGTATAAAGTAAACAGCAGCGAGGTACCAGCTCACAGCTGGAACTGGTTCACACTGACTTTAGGAAGGATGCTTGATGTCCCTCGTTCCAAGAAATAGCGCATGTATTCTCCTGTGAAGTGTTTGTGGCTGTGTGGATGTGTTGTGGTATGTGTATGTGTATATACCTACAGACTTACACATGTAAACTACGAGAGGGTGCAGTTGCAGAGCTATTAGCTTACTTGTAGTTTGGGTAGTTACTTTAAAATCAAGTCCTAGGAAGTAATGTCAGGTTTAATCTCTAAAAGTGTAGCAAGAAGAGCAAACCCATTCCCAAACAGCAGAAAGAGCAATTGAGTCTGCCTTTGACAGCTGCCACCTGGCATCCTATTAAACTTAACTCTCTGAAACTGCCAGCATAAATCTTCCCTCATCCTGGAGAAAGCTAGAGATGAAAGAGAAAAAATTATGCTTAGAAGTCAGTCGCGGAAAAGACTTTGATCTTTACCAGTAATACGAAGGTTTCTGCATTTCTCCCAGATTCCCCATTGTCCTTCTGTGGACTAGAAACTCAAATTGTTTGCTGGAACTTGGCTGGGTGTAATGAGAAGTGCAAATTTATCTCGTTACATAACAGGAGAGAGAGCTGGGAAGGTCTGAGGTTTGTTTCCAGAGAGATTACTGCCCAGCCTGCCGCTCTTGGATCAGGACGCACAGGAGGAGGTGCTGTCTGTGCAAGATGGCATGGAAGCGTTCGTTAGTCTCATGAAATGAGCTAAAAGCAATTAATTGTACAGGTTGGCGGCCCTCGGCAAACTCTTTTGGACAGACTGTGCCTCTGGATGCATGTGTGGCCCTGCAGTTTCTGACTGAGTGGAATTTGTCCCATAAAATCTCTTACGAAGAGCTATTACAAACAGAAGGCCTGATTCAAGAGCCCTTATTAAAAATTCTTGCTTACTGCAGTTAGCTTGCCATCACAGAGAGTAACTGGAGAGCACGAGGAATGCGGTAACCGAGTGTCTGCGAAGACAATGAGCATAACGCCGTAAAGCAGACATCTTAGCTGGTGATGTCGGTCAGGACTGACACACACCGCTGGGTTTTTTTTTCTTTACAACCTGGCTGCAGTTTTTTTAATCTGACATTATTAAACTAGATTTACTGTAGTGTTAAATCATAATGTTAAAGCATGAATCACACACAAGTGCTAAGGCTTATGGCTTCATGTTCAGCGGTAGTGGTGCTTAATTGACCTGTTTTCCTCATTACCCCTCTGTCACACTAGTACATCTGGGGTTTTGTGGCTCCCTTGTGGGCTGGATGCAGCAGGTGGCCTGGCTGTAAAGGGTTAAGGTGTGTGTGACCCGGTAAAAAAAGGGCAAAAGTTGGGTTGGATCAGCACCTTGAGCCTGCTTGTCACTCGGGTACCTGTAGCAGCCCAACACAGAGCACTGCTTGGGAGTGGAAGGGCAGGACAGTGCTCCGGCCAGCACTGCCCCGAAAAGTCGCTCCTCACACCCAGAATGCAGCAGGCAGCTTCCTGGCATAGAAATACTTTTTATGTGTTCAATGGTTTCCATGTGATGTCAAAGCACTTTAAAAGAAGGGAGCTTCCCTGTCCTGAGAAGGAAGGCCTTGTGCTGCAGGCCTGTGCCTTGGCTACAGACCCACCCGTTGGCCCGGCCACCTCGGGGAGGGACAGGACCAAGTGTTCAGCTGCTCGCTTCTCGCTGGTGTAAAACAGAAGCGTCGCGGATGACTCCAGATGCCTGCGTACAGTCACTGGCATCGCGGCGTCCGAATACCTCTGCCTGTCGGGAAACAGAAGTGGCTATTGTAAGCCATCTGAAATGGCTGCAGAGAGGCTTTATCACGGTGGCTGGACGCCTGCAATGTAATTACTCTAAAGCATTTTCAGGCTGTTTACCTTCTTTTTCTATAAGCAGGCACAGCTCTTAGAGTACGTGGAGTCAAAGGAAAGCAACTGATGAGCAGAGGCGAGAACGTGAACCTTTAATGTGGAGGTGCACAGCTTCCGAGGTAGTGCATACCCCCGGCACGGTCTCTATAGAGCTAAGGGAGCCCAGAGGGAGAGTCAGGGCAGAATTCAGTCCTTGCGGTAGCTCTCCAGGGCAGACAGCAATTTTGGGTCCCTGAAGACAAACTGTCCCTGCCCCGGCCTCGTTCGAGCCCAGTGCGGTGTCGGCACTCTCCTCTCCCGGCCCCAGAGCCTCCCGCGGCGGCGGGGGAGAGCCCCGGGGGCGCCGAGCCGCGCTTC